TATAGACACAACGTTTCAGCCAAGTACTCTCTGGTCATCATCAGGTTTACAATATTTGCTTGACATGAGAAATCTGTCGATAATTGTCTTGTTTTGTTGCTTTGATGTCAGTTAGTGTTTGTTCTTGATGAACCAGCGTTTCACAACGCATCTATAACATCAATAATAATAATAATAATAATAACATGTTATGATCGCATTAGTTGTCTAATATGGATGGAAGACTATCAGCAGCAGAAGTCATTATATTTCCGTGTAAACGACTGTTTTCCTTGAAAATTGTTTTAGTTTTAGTGTTTGTTTTAAGATTTCAGGCAAAAAGCGTTTAATTTCTGAGCCGATTATAAAAAAAAACACAAACATACTCCAATAGAAATAAAATCAAATAAGTTGTACGAAAATTAAAGACTATATTTTGTTTTTCTCTTTGAAACAAAGAATTGTCAGTTTTGAACTATTGTACTGACCTTGATTATTATAGATGTTAATGTGGACTTAACGTTTCAGCCAAGTCCCCTCTGGTCATTATCGGATGTCCATTATTTGACTAATATAGCAAATTTGTTTATTCTTGCGTTATTTTGTTCCTATCATATGAGTTCTTGTTCAGTCCTGCTGAATTAGCGTTTCACAAACAATCTATAATATCTATTATTATAATAACATCTGTTATAAACAAGGTGGAACAATAGTTTGAATAAATTAAAAAGTATTTTTTCATCGACACTTTATTTCATTGTTTGAAGCTCAACTGAAAATGAATGGGTCATATTAAATTGAAAATGTTTTATATACAAGAATAACTCATCTGTTTCAACAATAATTTTTGTGCCATTATTGAAATCTGCCTTGACTTTATCAAATCTCTGTTATCAGTAACAGCCCAACATGAAAGATTTCGGTTTCATTAAAGGGACATCGGTTGTAATATTTATGCTCAGAATTATATCAAAAAGAGGAATAAAAATGCAAAAGGATATATACGTATGTTTTATAGATTGCGTCAAGGCGTTTGCTAAAATATCACAAAGAACTATTTGAACTGTCAGGTAAGCTTTATTTATTTAGAAAAGATATTAGAATAATCCAAAACTTGTACTGGTATTAAACCACCTGCTGCTTTGGACATCGATAAGTAGAGTATGAATGGTTCTTGAACATTGTATTGGATGAACATTAGTGCCAAAAAAGACCAAAAAATCCTGTTTTCGATTTTTTAAGTTATGCGGGTCGTTTCCGCCTAAAATATTAAATACCCGTAATCCTTCTACCCAACTCTTACCTATTTGGCCTCGTTCTCGTCTAAGTTTTGTTTTCCTGTATGTTAAACTTACAGATCGCGGACATCTATCAAAGAGATGAAATTTAAATTTTTATTATTGTATTATTCCAAAATTTTAACACGTCAACAGATAGCTATTAACTAAGCACAAATAGTTATTAATTAAAAAAGAATAGTAATCAATGTATAATATTACCCATAACTACATGTACAAGATAAAAGTTAAAAAGTAACCATAAATACGTAAAAAAAATGCGTATATTGTCGAAAATTCCGATTTCCACACTATAGCTATTTGTGCTATATTATAATGTTTATTACCTGAACAATAATAATACTGAATAAATCTTTTCAAATATTAAAGTATATTTAATCACATCTTTCTAATAGCTGTTGCGATCTGTTAATAGATATCTTGTGTAAGTTAAACTTAATAAATATCTTGTGTTCATCTAAGCTAAGCATAATAAATATCGTGTTTTTGAATAGGTTAAACTTAATAAATATTTTGTGTTTATGCAAGTTAAAAAAAAAAATCTGTATAATAAATGCTTATGTCAGTGTGTTACTGTGTCACACTTTTTCAACTATACTCCTAGAGTATGTAACCCAACATATTATACCATTTTGGAATCAGGCCGACTCTGTAAGCAAATTAAAAAATATTCCGGGTCAGATCCAGACCCCCAATCCTGAAATTTTGGATTCTTAAGTTTTCATTACTGCGATTGTTTCAGCGAGTTTTTTACGTGATTTTTTTTGCGACGAAATTCTGGTACAACAATTTTTATAAATTGGAAATAAATTTGGGAATAATCGAAATTATTTGCGGAATATAGCGAAAGTCACCCATGAAATAAAAGTAACTGTTTCTACGGAAAATAAGGACCTACGTACATCAACATGCCTTTAAATTAATTGGCGTCAAAAAATTATTGTTAGGTCAACTTAAATATTAATGCAATATTTAAATGCAGCGATCAATTTTGAGTTCTTCTGCAGTTTATTGTTGCCTATCGCATCTACCCTTCCCTACGTATTGTGATGAATGCCCAATCAAGAGCCTCCCACAGGAGCTAGCTTAAATGCCGCCTGATAGGGCGACTTTTAAGATAGTAATAAATATATTGTGGTCGTGTAAGTTAAACTTATTAAGTTGATAATTATCTTGTGTTTATGTAAGTTAAACTTAATATCATGTTCTTGTAAATTGAACATAATAATAAATATCTTGAGTTCATGTAAGTTAAACATGATAAAAAATATCTTATGTTCCAGTAAAACTTAATAAATATCTGTGTTCGTGTGAATTAAACATAATATCTTGTGCTCAAATAAGTTAAACTTAATAAATATCTTGTGTTTGTGTAAGTTAAATTTAATAATATTGTGGAGGGTTGTATTTGACTTCGTGCCGTTAACAGATGTTGACCTAACGAAGACTTGAGTAGAAAATGAATCATCAATGTTTACTGACGGACATCGGTACAAAGATGCGAAGGTATAGAGAATGATCGACCTTAGGTCAGGCTGACGTTGAGTGGGTGTGGCTGAATCTCCTTTTTGTTGGGACGGCTACCAAACACGTCCGAACTCAATGGTTGGCAAGTGAGAAGAGAACGATGTAAAATTTACAGATGACCGGAAAGCCTTTTTGGTTTCCTTTTGAATTATGGGAAAATTAAATTCGTTATTTATTATTTTATTCTCTCGCAATATCTTGTGTTCGTCTAAGCGCCAGGAAATTTTTCTCCCCGGAATCGATACTTCAAATATACAAATCAACAATTCGCCCTTGCATGGAGTATTGCTGCCATATATGGTCTGGAGCACCTTCTGTTTACCTCGGAGTTCTTGACAAGATCCAGAGACGGATATGTAATATAATTGGCCTTGATCTGACATCTCGTCTACAGTCACACTCTCACAGACGCGCCGTCGCCTCTCTCTGTCTTTTCTACAAATACTTTCATGGTAATTGCTCCGATGAGCTGCTTTCACTGGTTCCCAGACTCCATGAATTCAAGCGCCCTACGAGGCTGGCATCCCGCTCCCACCCTTACACTGTAGAAACTTTTAAATGTAGCCGTCTCTTCTAGTCCAATAGCTTCATACCTCGCACCTCTCGCCTGTGGAACACCCTTCCGAATTATTGTTTCCCTGAGAGCTATAATCTCCAATTATTCAAATGTAATGTCAATCGACATCTCCAGTTACCTTGATCTATCCACTATCCTTCTCCTCATCCTTTCTTCTATCACTCCTATCTGCTCTTGCTCCAAGTCTTCTGCAACTCCCTGCATCTTAGTGGCTTCAGGCCTTGCTCGGGGCATAATGCTTAAAAAAAAAAAAAGAAAAAAAAAGATAAGTTTATTAAGTTAATAAATACCTTGATTTTCTATAAATTAAACTTAATAAATACCTTGTGTTCGTGTAAGTTAAACATTAAGAATCTTGTGTTCGAGTTATTTTTACAAGAATTTCCAAATCAATGTGTTTTCAACGGAAAAAAAGTGCAAAAAAAACAATGTTATTTTAACAGCACCGCGATGACGTAAACAAAAGAAGACTTTAACCAAAATTTCGAACGTGTTAGAAAATATTAAAAAATTTCAAAAAATAATTAAAAAATACTTTGGTCTTTCATCTTCATAATAACATAAGCATTTTGACGATAAAACTTTATTTTCGTTATGTTTGTGGCATTTTTCATTACGCTATGCTGTTTTCCCGCGAAAAAGTGGAGGTCGCTAAGTTAAACTTAATAAATATCTTTTGTTTGTGTAAGTTAAACGTGTGTGCGTGACTGAGTGTATGTGAATGTACGTAGTGTGCCGCCAAAAATTATTCCCTTCCCCGCCAATTATTTTGGGGAAAACGTTGCATTATCAGACGAATTTTTTATTTGATTTCAATATAGTAACTAAGAAACTGAGGCAGCTCGAAGTACCCGAGTGGTGGCTAGCACCTCTACCAGACGTATGAGTTGACAACTGGACTCATTTCAAGCTCAGAAGGGCATAAAACGAATCAAGATCGACGTATAAACACATCTGTTGCTGGTTTGTGTGCGTTTTGGACGTGTTTATTCGTTTGTAAAGGTCAAGTTCGGTAAAAACGTATATACACGTCTACGCCGGGAAACAGGTTAAGAAAACATTAATTTTTTTTTTTTTTTTGTCAGAAGTCAGAAATTGTGTTCAGAATTAAAACACGAAATTTGAAAGAAAATCGAAACGAAATGGAAAAAGAAAAACAGGGAAGGGGGATTAAATAAAGAAGAAGAAATCTTTTAACCCATTCGACAAGTTGATAAAGAAAAGAGAAAAATAAAAAAAATAAAAACTATCGTCATCTTTCATGTTTTTGGAAAGCAAGTCAAGACTTGTGGAATCGATATGATTTGGACAAAAGTATATTCAATCGTGCGGCTGTCGTTCCGTAAGTCGCATGTCCTTAATCTGTGCGTGGGGAAAGGGAGGGGAAAAAATTACCGTTTGAGCAATATTCAAATGAAATTGCTTTTGACTTTATCGATTATTTTCCTGATTAGCGTTTGATGTGTTGACAACAATACAGAAAGAAGCACGCCAACAATTTTCCATTTATTTATATCTCCTTCCAAAGGGAATTTTGGACATAGCTCAGTGGTAGATAGACCGGCTGACTGGACGAGGATTGAACTGCGTTCATTGTTGAGGGCTTACTCCTACATCACGTTGAAACACCAGTTCTCGTACAATTACCGAAGTTAAGCAATGTTGAGCCTGGTCTGTACCTAGATGGGTGACCGCTTAGAAATACCACGAGCTGTATGCGGGTGCTGTAATGGATAACGGCTCGGAATTGTGATTCAGAGATCCAAATTCCAATTCCATTCAAGTTCGTTATATTCACCTACGTGCAAATACAACTGGGAAAGGTCTTAATCCACATCTTCTCCCTCCAGCTATGGGTTAATTAGTAGGACTTGTATCACTTGTTAATTAGCACCATTTGTATCATTAAACCATTATCATCTAAAAAATAAATGTAAAATTGCTTGCAAAATATTTAGATTTCGGCATTAAATAACCCATAGAGGTGTTGATATGCTGCTAACCAAAAAAAAAAAAATTCTTACATTTTAAAATCACACAAAAAAACTATGAATATTTTAATTTCATATTTACAATTACTTGTGGTAGGTTTTAAGAGAAATAATAAAAAGACAAAATTCATTAAGAACTGAAAAGGGCAGGAAATTTTGCAGAGCCATGATCGCCTACGTTCTGAGAGCACATTGCACATAAGAAGAAGGTTTGTGATGAAATAAAAAGAAGAATATGTAAAATTTTAAAAAGATCCCCAATGAGGAACCAATAACGAATATATCGCCCTAATTAACCATATCTTAAATATATCATAACAGGTGATGAAAAGTGAGTTGTATACAACAATGTTCAACACAAATGGAAGTGGATGGACAAGGACAAATTCCTAATACCGATCCCAAAATATCTGTTCATTTGAAGATAGTTAATGTTGTGTATGTGGTGGTATCATTGGTGTATTATTCATTTAGCCTTTTTAAATCGCAATGTAAAAATAAATTTCTTTGTCTAACAGCAGCAACACGTCCATAAAAGTTTCATCGAAAAGTTCCCGGCTCTCGGCAATAGAAAACATGATATTCTCCTTCATAGCAACGTAAGAATAACACACGACAAAACGTTTGGTTTTCTAATTTAATTTCCATCAACATAACAAGGAATTTAGTCATGTTTTGTTGTTATGAAGATTAAAATTATAAAAAATGTTTTGATAGAATAAAATTGTTGAATGAAAAAAATTTTTTAATCCTATAACATCTAAAATCTTTTTTGGGAATTGATCAAGAACGTTAAAATGGTGAACTTTTTGGAAGATTTACTAAAATCATCAGCCAATTTGGATCCACGCTTGCTCAGTATTTTTAAACACCTTTACAATCTTATGCAATATAAAGCAGATTTTGTGCTTCATCAAATATTTAGAGGCAGTCCCCAGAAGAAAATACTGATTATTAGTAAATGAAAACAAAGCCGAGTTTGTGTTACTTCAAATACTTAGAGGAAGTGGTCTATAGAATGTAGTGATATACGCAACAGAATAAAAAGATTTTATGCTTCTTCAAATATTATAGGCGGACCCTGATAGAAGGTACCAATTATAGATAACTAAGTAAAAAGCAGATGCTATGCTTCTTCAAGTACTTATAGAAAGTTCCCGAGAGAAAATATTGATTATTAGTAATTGAATAAAAAGCAGATTATGTGCTTCGTCAAATACTTATAGACAGTCGTTTATAAAATGTACTAATTATAAGTAACTGAGTAAATATCTGTTTCTGTGTTTCTTCAAAGTCTTATAGGAAGTCCCCTATAGAAAGTACAGACTATTAGTAACTCAATAAAAAGCAGATTTTGTGCTTCCTAAATAATTATAGGAAGACACGATAGAAAGTACTGATTATAAGTAAACGATGTTCTATGTTACTTAGTAACTGAGTAAAAAGCAGATTCCGTGCTTCTTCAAATATAGGCAGTACCCTATAGAAAGTACTGCTTAAAAGTAACAGAATATAAAGCAGATTTTGTGCTTCTTCAATTATTTATAGACTGTCGCCTATAAGAAGTAATGATTATAAGTAACTGGGTAAATATCATATTCTACACTTCTTGAAATACTCATAGGAATTCCCCTATAAAAAATGTTGACTATTAGTAAGTGAATAAAAAAAACAGATTCTATGGCTCTTCACGTTTTATAGGTTGTCCTCTATAGAAATTACTTATTATTAGTAACAGAATAAAAAGCAGGTTCTGTGCCTAGTATAGCAGGGAAAAAATCCCTGGGAGTCACATTCACCGACTTCATCTGTGGAAAAATGAGGCAGTAATAGCCTCGTCTAATATCTTTAGATAGAATATACTACCAGTTCTATGGGCTCTCTTGCTCCGCCAGTCTACTCCAAACCTGGATACAAATTCCGCGCCAGAAAAATTTGTGACATCATCAAAGTTTAGGGGGAGTGTTGCAGGTCGTAGGAAAAGGGCAGTAGAAAGTTTCAAACAGTGGTTTCCCGTTTCCTACTGAACCCCGTTTTGATTATACAATCTCAGAGAAGTGGTCACCCTCTACAGGGCCCCAGGGTCCTTAGAGTTGGAGAGTTACAGAGTAATAGGCATAGTTTGTAGAGATATATGAGAAGATGACACTTAACTCCACACTTGAACTGGTTAAGGTTGTAGGAATCGAGGAAGCCTCCGCTTAGAAGTCGGTTCCAGAAAGCTGCGGTTTGTGCGAAGAAGCTGCTCACTAATGGAATACAAAAGGAATGAGGGTGGTTCGCTACACATGGGCGTGGCATGGCGGGTTTTAGACATGAAGGTTAGAACTGGTGGAAGTAAGGAATGTAGTTTGTCTGAACACTTTCCATGGAAATGGAGACAGAGTAGTGAAAGGTTTATGATGTTTCGTCTGTGGAAAAAAGGAGTTGTAGGGATTTAAATAATTCATCACCCACAAGGACACGGAGACGTTTTTGGAATTTATCGAGACTGCAAAATGAAAACTAGGTAGCTTCTGTCCATATATGGCTGTATTAGTACCACTTATTAGTATACTTTTATTTGCCAGTTATAATTTACCATAAATCTGGTGCTCGGAAGATATTTAATAGTTTCCCAGTCACCAGGTACTAAGATTAGTTTTAGTGTATCTATTGATACAACACTGAGTAAACGGAAATGAAAAATGAGATACACCCTTACAAAATTAAAACATTTAATAAATACATAAAATATTACTACAAATCATATGTGCCATTAAACAGATAAATCTACATATTGATCCAAAAATAAGAATGTCCGATTGTGATAAATAAAAGATAAATACAAAATGTTTTACTTTTTCTGATTCCCTTGACGATGTGAAACAAAATGCCTGACCGAAGATGGAAAAAAAAGGTCTCGTTTTCCACTCAACCAAAATCAGTGAAAATAATGTCCGTTTTCCGCATATGTCGACTTCAGGAAAATGACATGTTTACTGTTTAAAGAACAAAAGTAAAACTCCTCTAAAAGCAAATTTGGTAATCCCAGAAAAGACAATTATTGTCTCCCTACAGCAGCCATACATCATTTTCAGCCTGATCTATCTCTTGTAAAGGTAGAGGTTTGGTTTGGTTTGCTTTGTTTTACACTATATCAACTTCAATAGATTATTAAATTCCGACAAAATTTTTATTGCTGCTAATTTTTTATTTTTTAATATATTGCTGGTGATATTTTTTTTCTTTTTTCAAAAATGTATAATAATTTTTTTTAATAACGTATTTCTGGTATTAAAACCTATTTTTACACTTTCATAGTATTTTGACCCAAGTTTGTGTTAACTATTTACCCATAGCTGGGACCCTAACAGGTGCTTACCACCCCGGGTCAGGCTGGACCTGGGAACACCAGCAATTAAGAGGTGGTTCCATGCTCCTCAAAACCTCCTGAACAGTGGCCTTGCTGTTGGATGTAGTTTATCGTCTTACCCAGGACGTGCATGTAGTTTATCGTCATACCCAGGACGAGTAAAGGTAGAGGATAACATGAGGAGTCAAGTACTTACTGAAGTATAAGGAACCGACTAATTTTCCAATATCTTTAACGATGTACCGTATATACGAGTTCTTTTTGAGGTTTAAGTTGTGCTTAAGTCTCAACAGGCGCTTAAGACACTGAGCCTCCATTTATCATGAGCGATGAAAGTTCTGGGTCCGCTCAGTGATGATGGAACGTTAGCAGTTGGGCTTTTGAGGCACTGAGTGTGATCAGAAAGTTTTTTTCTCCACTGATGTGTTAAAGCTAGGTCAGGGGAGAGATCAGCTGCTAGGCTCTGGTCATTAGAGTTTCGGAGGGTGTATCATCAACATAGGTATTCACAAATGATCGGAGTATACTCTTAGGCAAATCATTTATGTAAAGTAGAAAGTTGAACCGAAAAACGAACATTGAGCCCGTCTACGATGATCGCTTTTGCCTCAAAGGACTGGCCGTTAACAACTACCGTCAGAGCTCTACCCGTTAGGGAGGACTTTATAATGAGGAAGTCTCTGCCAGTGATTCCATAGTTAGAAAGCTAGTGTAGTAACCCTTTATGCCACACTTTTTCAATGGCCTTTAAAATATCGAATGCGGTCGCCCTTGAGATGTATTTGTTGTCTAGTGCCGCGCTAATTCTGTGAGTAATGGCAATTAGTATATGAGCAGTGGACCGAACCGATCGAAACCCGTACTGTTTGTCGCTCACGAGAATCTCCCTAATGAGGTGATCAACAACCTTCTTGCTGATTATAGCTTCAAAAATTAGCTAATGACACTGAGGAGGCTGCGTGGTCTATATTGTGACGGGGATGAGCGCTCATCTGCTTTCTTTTCTTTGGTTTTGGTTTTCGAGACACTGAATGCCCCCGCCCACACAAGCACTGAGCTGTTAGAGCTAGGTCAGAGGCGCGATCAGCTGCCGGGTTCTGATCATCTCGAGTTTCGGAGGTGCACCCGTATACGGTTGTATCATCAACATAGATATTCAAAAATGATCGGAGTATACTCTTAGGCAGATAATTTATGTAAAGTAGAAAAGGGTTGGAAGACGTCTGCGTTGATCGCTAGTATAAAAAGGAGTTTGTTTTTATTCATAAGAAGAGGCTTCCCAGAAAGCAAGACAAGCCGGCTAAAATGACTTTCAATACTTCGCCTTCCTCAAAGTCATCTCCTGCTATTCCAACAAAAACAGAAAAGGCAA